CCCCCCGGGGCTGCTCCCCCCCCATCCCCATCCCCGCCCGGATTCCCCGTCTGCTTTCCATCCACCTCCGCCTCCGCCTCCTCCTCCTCCTCCTCCCGGGGCTGGGGCGGCGGGGCGGCAGAAGGCGCGATGCTGCCGTCGGTCTTGGTGCTGCTGCCTCTACTGCTGCTGCCAGTGCTGCCGGCGCTGAGCGGGGCGCCGGGCGAGACTTTCAGCTCCATGCTCAGCATCCGCCGGGCGCTGGGCACGGAAGGGGCGCTGCTCCGCCACCTGCGCGCCTACCTGGAGGACGAGGCCGGCCGGCTGCGGGATCTCGACAGGTAAGGCAGGAGGGGAGAGGGGGAGCGCGGAAGGGACCCCCCCTCCTTCCCTTTTCTTTCTTTCTTTCTTTCTTTTTCTTTCTTTCTTTCTTTCTTTCTTTCTTTCTTTCTCATTCCAAAGTGATGAGTTTCTAACCTCTTCCTCTCTTTGTTTCTTTGTTTCTTTCTTTCTTTCTTTCTTCCGTCCTTCCAACTTCTTCCTCTCTCTCTCTCTCTCTCTCTCTCTCTCTCTCTCTCTCTCTCTCTCTTTCTTTCTTTCTTTCTTTCTTTCTCATTCCAAAGTGATGAGTTTCTAACCTGTTCCTCCCTCCCTCCCTTCCTTCCTTCCTATTTCCCTTCCTTCCTTCCTTCCTTAATCCACAACTATCCCCTAGTTGCACAAACTCTGTTGTGTCTAGAGTTAAAAATGAAGACTCTCCAGATCCAGGATGCCTCAGATCCAAAGTCTGTCTGTCTGTCTGTCTGTCTGTCTGTCTGTCTCTCTCTCTCTTTCTTTCTTTCTTCCTTTCTTCCTTCCTTTCATTCTTTCTTTTTCTTTCTTTCTTTCTTTCTCATTCCAAAGTGATGAGTTTCTAACTTCTTCCTCTTTCTTTCTTTCTTTCTTTCTTTCTTTCTTTCTTTCTTTCTTTCTTTCTTTCTTTCTCTTTCTTTCTTTCTTTCTTTCTTTCTCCATTCCCCTTCTGCCCTCTGTCCCTCCCTTCCATATATCTTTCCCCCAGCTCTTCCTCTTGTTTCCCCCCTTCCTCGCTTCCTCTTTCCTTCCATTTCTTTCTTTCCTTCCCTTCCTTCTTTCTCTCTTCTTCCATTTTATTCCCCCGTCCCTTCCTTTCTTTCGTCTTTCTTTCCTTCCTTGTTTCACCCCTGGCAAGAATAATAATAATAATAATGATGATGATGATGATGATGATGATGATGATAATGTTGGAAGGGACCTTGGAGGTCATCTAGTCCAACCTCCTGCTCAGGCAGGAAACCCTATACCATTTCGGACAAATGGCTGTCCAGTTTCTTCTTAAAAACTTCCAGTGTTGGCGCATTCACCGCTTCTGGAGTGGGGTTGGACACACAAGGAATTTATTTCCGGTGCATAAACTCTCAGTGTACATACAAGTAATATTGATAATCGTGATCATATACAACTTGAAAATACATTCATCACAAATTGTGAAATACAACGCTTACTAATGGTCACAGAGTACTAGCTAAGCAAACAACCTAAATCATACTAGGGTACAAAAAAAGAAACCAATATCAATTGTAAGATACAACCAGCGAAGTTATAGTCATAAGAAGGTAAGGATAGGTAATAGGAAAGATGAGGAGTATCATAGTAATACGGCTTTACTAGTCTTTTGACAGTGTGTATCATAGTAATACGGCTTTACTAGTCTTTTGACAGTGTTGTAGGAATTAGTTGTTAAGCAGAGTGACGGCATGGGGGGAAAAACTGTCCTTATGTCTAGTCGTTCTGGTGTGCAAGGCCCTATATAGCAGGGGTCTTCAAACTTGGCCCTTTGATGACTTGTGGACTTCAACTCCCAGAATTCCTCAGCCAGGCACGCTGGCTGAGGAATTCTGGGAGTTGAAGTCCATGAGTCATAAAAGGCCCAAGTTTCAAGACCTCTGGCTTAGAGTATTGTTTCTGGATGGCTGGGGAATTCTGGGAGTTGAAGTCCATCCACGCTGACAGGAATTTTAGGTGAAGTCCATCCATGCTGACTGAGGAATTCTGGGAGTTGAAGTCCATCCACGCTGACAGGAATTTTAGGTGAAGTCCATCCATGCTGACTGAGGAATTCTGGGTGTTGAAGTCCACAAGTCATCAAAGGACCAAGTTGGAAGACTCCCTGCCCTATAGCGTCGTCTTGAAGGAAGAAGTTGAAACGGTTTATATCCAGGATGTGAGGGTTCTGTAAATACTTTTACAACGCTCTTTTTGGCTTGTGCAATATATAACTCCTCAATGGAAGGCAGGCTGGTTGCAATAGTTTTTTTTTCTGCAGTCCTAACTATCTGTTGAAGTCTGTGTCTGTCTTGTTTGGTTGCTGTGCCAAACCAGACAGTTATTGAGGTACAAACGACAGACTCAGTCTTTCCTCCATAAAACTGTCTCATCAGCTCCTTGGGTAGTCCGAGATTCCTGAGTTGGTACAGGAAGAACATTCTTTTGATGACATTTTTGATGTTAGGTGTCCATTTTAAATTTTTGGGATATTATAGAACCCAGAAAGGTTTCTACTGTTGATCCTGTGTTGTCTAGAATTATGAGGTTGAAAACTAATCAAGGAGAGAAGCGACCTAGAACTAAGGAGGAACTTCCTGACAGTGAGAAGAATTAACCAGTGGAACAGCTTGCCACCAGACGTTGTGGTTGCTCCATCACTGGAGGTTTTTCAGAAGAGACTGGACAGCCATTTGTCTGAACTGGAATAGGGTCTAGCAGGGGGCTGGACTAGAAGACCTCCACGGTCCCTTCCAGCTCTATTAATAAACGATAAAATAACGACATTTCTGCTTTCCAGATTCTACCAGAAGATCCAGGATTTGCATCAGGGATCGGGCGGCTCCCTGGAGAACCCCTTGATGGCGTTTGCCCTGATCAAGAGGTTGCAGTCGGACTGGAGAAACGTAGTTTATAGCATGGAAGGAACTGAGAATATCCAAGGTGCCTTTTCCTTACCACTCTTTAATTGCTGGAGAGAGAAAGTGCGTTGAAATAGGGGGTGGTCTCCAGGAGTAGGACCCAATAAAAGCAGTCCTCCATTTGCAAAAGTTCGTTTAGCGGCCGTTTGTAAATGGAGGACTGCTTTTATTTGGCCCTAGTTCTGTGGACCGTCCCCATTGTGAGCAGCGTGATGGCCTAGAGGCGAAGATACTGGCCTCCAATTCGGAAGGTTGAGAGTTCAATCCTAGGTAGGGGCAGATATTTCCTCGGGCACAAGGAAAAAATATCTGCTGTGAACCCCGCACAGGAATTCTGGGAGTTGAAGTGCCACACCTCTTTAAGTGGTTGAGGTGGAGAAACATGGCTGTACAGACTTCCAACTCCCAGAATGCTCAGCAGTTGTCTTGAGAGGTTAGAGCAGGGGTAGGCAACCTTGGCTCTTTTATGACTCGTGGACTTCAACTCCCAGAATTCCTGAGCCAGCCATGCTGAGGGGAAAGGGAGAGTTTCCAAGCTGAGTCATGCTGGCTCAGGAATTCTGGGAGTTGAAGTCCACGAGTCATGAAGGGGCCATAGTTCCCCCATGCTGGCTCAGGAATTCTGGGAGTTGAAGTCCACCAGTCATGAAGGGGCCATAGTTCCCCCATGCTGTCTCAGGAATTCTGGGAGTTGAAGTCCACGAGTCATAAAGGGGCCATAATTCCCCCATGCTGTCTCAGGAATTCTGGGAGTTGAAGTCCGCAAGTCATGAAGGGGCCATAGTTCCCCCATGCTGTCTCAGGAATTCTGGGAGTTGAAGTCCACGAGTCATGAAGGGGCCACAGTTCCCCCATGCTGTCTCAGGAATTCTGGGAGTTGAAGTCCACAAGTCATGAAGGGGCCTTAGTTCCCCCATGCTGGCTGAGGAATTCTGGGAGTTGAAGTCCACGAGTCATAAAAGAGCCAAGGTTGCCTACCCCTGGGTTAGGGAATTCTGGGAGTTGATCCCTACAGGTCCGAAGGGCTCCTAGTTGGAGGATAATACAGGTAGTCCTCGCCTTACGACCACAACTGAGCCCAAAATTTCTGTCCCTAAGTGAGACATTTGTGGAGTGAGTCTTGGCCCATTTGACGACCTTCCTTGCCCACCGTTGTTAAGTGAACCACCGCAGTTGTTCGGTCAGTAACCCGGTTGTTAAGTGAATCTGGCTTCCCCCTTGACTTTCCTCGTCGGAAGGTCACAAAAGGAGGTCACATGACCCTGGGACATAGCAACGATCATAAATACGAACCAGTTGCCAAGTGTCTGGAGTTTTGATCACGTGACCCTGGGGAAGCTGCAAAGGTCGTAACTGTGAAACACGGCCATAAGTCACATTTTTTCGGTGCCGTTGTAACTTTGGAACGGTCACTAAATGAGCTGGCTGGGGAATTCTGGGAGTTGAAGTCCACACCTCTTTAAGTGGCTGAGGTGGAGAAACGCAGCTGAATATCTTCAAAATTGCCACAAAATGGGGAAAACTGACCAGCTCTGTTTCTGACCAGCTCTGACCAACATATCACTCATACGTTGTCCAACCCAACTGGGTTTTTCAGTCTTGAAGATGAACTATCACCGATTAGAAGACCATCTACCTCACCTTGAGGACCTCCAAGGAGCCGCTCGGGCCCTCCTGCGCCTTCAAGATGTCTACGCTTTGAACGTCCCAGAGTTGGCCCAAGGCCGGTTTCGGACGGTGAGCGAGGCTCACCCTGAGGTCTACCATCCCAGCCAGGACTTCGCCTTGTCCGCCGATGACTGTTTCCACATTGGGAAGGTGAGGCGCTGAAGTCAAGAGGGCCAACGCGCGGTTCCTCAAACAGGGACTTGAGAGGGTTCCCCTCATGAAAACGGGGTAGTCCGGTGGTGGGTTGGTTTGCTAGAGGGTCTTCTTTGGGCTAAGGGGCTTCGGGTTGTGGGGTCTGGGAGGTGAGGTCCAAAAAAGGCAAGACGACAAGATCACGTGATAAGCAGGATCTTGCAAACTCTGCTAGAAGCTGGGAGACGGTGAGTTCTAGTCCTGCCTTAGGCACGACAGCCCACTGAGTGACTTGGGGACGATTACCAGGAGACGGTGAGTTCTAGTCCCGCCTTAGGCATGAAAGGTGGTGAGTTTGGGGCCAATCACCAGGAGATGGTGAGTTCTAGTCCTGCCTTAGGCATGAAAGGTGGTGGATTTGGGGCCAATCAGATAGATAGATAGATAGATAGATAGATAGATAGATGGATGGATGGATGGATGGATGGATGGATGGATGGATGGATAGATAGATAGATAGATAGATAGATAGATAGATAGATAGATAGATAGATAGATAGATAGATGATAGATAGATAGATAGATAGATAGATAGATAGATGATAGATAGATAGATAGATAGATAGATAGATAGATAGATAGATAGATAGATAGATAGATAGATAGATAACCTTTATTGTCAGTTTTTATTGTGGGCATATTGGCACACATTAAAAGAAATGTTGCTTGCTCTCAAAAGTATACACATACACAACACACATTTAAAGATGCTACATACAGCCTATGTATAAACCTACACCGTTACCTATAAATACCATATAAATATTAATCGATATTTTAATCACAAAATTAATCACAATTAACGACAATGAATCACAAAATATTGGAAATAGGCAGGTCATCCGGGCCCAGTCCCTGCAGTGCTTGGGGACGTCCAGCCACGGAGGAGGACCGGTGTGGTTCCCAGGGATCCCCCTGATCCTCTTGGGGCACAGTGGCAGGGAAGGCCATTCTGTTCCTGTTCCTCCGATCCGTCTGGGTTTTCCTGGGCATCTGACCGGCCCCGGTTACTTGCAGGTGGCTTACGATACGGAGGATTATTACCACGCGATCCTGTGGCTGGAGGAAGCCGCCGGTCTCTTCCGGAGCTCCTACGGGAACTGGAGGATGGAAGACGAGGGCAGCCTTGAAGATGCCCTGGACCATCTGGCCTTCTCCTACTTCATGGTGAGCCTGGCAACAGCTCCCGAAATTTTTCTTTCTTTCTTTTTCTTTTTTCTCCTTCCTTCCTTCCTTCCTTCCTTCCTTCTTTCCTTCTTTCCTATCATCCTTCCTTCCTTCCTTCCTTCTTCTTTCATTCTTTTCTTTCTTTTTATTTTTCTTTCTTCTCTTTCCTTCCTTCTTTCTTTCTTTCTTTCCTTCCTTCCTTTCATTTTCTTTCTTCTTTTCCTCTTTCCTCACTTCCTTCCTTCCCCCTTCCTTCCTTCCTTCCTTCCTTCCTTCCTTCCTTCCTTCCTTCCTTCCTTCCTTCCTTTTTGTATCTTATTTCTCTCTCTCTTTCTTTCTAATCTTCCTTCCTTCCTCTTTCTCTCTTTCTTTCTTTCTTTCTTTCTCTTTCTCTCTTTCATCCTTCCTTCCTTCCTTTCTCCCTCCCTCCCTTCCTAAATCCACAACTATCCCCAAATTGCACAAACTCTATTGTGTCTAGAATTAAAAATGAAGACTCTCCTGTTCCAGGATGCCTCAGATCCAGTCTTTCTTTCTTTCTTTCTTTCTTTCTTTCTTTCTTTCTTTCTTTCTTTTTCTTTCTTTCTTTCTTTCTCTCTTTCTTTTTTCTTTCTTTCTTTCTTTCTTTCTTTCTTTCCTTCCTTCTTTCTTTCTTTCTTTCTTTCTTTTTCTCTCTCTTTCATCCTTCCTTCCTTTCTCCCTCCCTTCCTGAATCCAAACTATCTCCGAATTGCTTGGGTTGAGGTGCTTTTTGTTCTTCTCCATCCAGAACTTGGCAGCCTCCAGGCCCTGGCTGAGCTTTGCAGGCTTCAGTTCTGGCAGTTGAAGTCCACACATCTTAAAGTTGCTCATGTTGACAAACACAGCTGATACCTTGGAAGTTGCCAAGAATGGGGAAAGATGGCTGTTTTCTGATGAGTTAGAGTTACGTGTCATTAACACACTGTCTGGGAAAAGGCGTGTCCGTTAAATCCAAATGTCCATTAAATCCGAATTTGCATTTGTCCTCGTCTACATCTACGTAAGTAGATCAATCATGTCAGGTGTCCGAATAAAATTGGGTTTGGCACATTTTAAGGGGTGTTAGTCCACTCAAGCGAAATGCAATTAATGCAACCTTTTTTTGCTTTGTTCCCAAATCTATTACACCAAGGGTTTACTCTGATTTTTAAAGAAATACAGGTGGAGCAAATCCTGAAACAGCCAATGTTAACCTTTTTATAAAACATGTCCCATCTTGAATTTGGGGTTGCTACAATGCTGTGTATCATACGCCGCATGAAACTGCCAGTGGATGTTGTGGCCCAGTTTTTACACTGGGCTCAGGCCAGAGTGGTTTTGAAATTTAATCTCTTTATTCCTATAAAATGTTAATGATCCACTTCTCTTTTCTCTCTCTCTCTCTCTCCTCCCTTCCCCTTTGAAATCTTGTTTTTGCAAGGCAGGGAACATCTCTCACGCCTTAAGGCTGTCCCAGGAATTTCTTCACTACGGTATGTACTTCTCGGAAAGAAATATCCAGATTTATTTGGTCTGTCAGTCTGACACCACGGCTTTCAAAGATTGTGTTCTTAATAAATTCCATCGCATCTTCACTGCCAAAAAAAGACTGCATTTACCCGAAAAGGAGGCGACTCTGAATTTAGCTCCCAAAATACCAAAATACCATATAAATAAGAGACAAGAAATTTCACCCCTTTTGTTTCCTATATTCTCAGCAAACAGGAGAGGCCTCCCGTTGGGAAAAAAAAAAGCGAATTGTTTAAGAAAAAATACATGTTTAATGACCATTTAAAATTACAACCGAGCTCCCCAGAATTATTACTGCGTGTAGTCCTCGGTTTACGACCACAACGGAGCCCAAATTTTCTGTTGCTGAGACAGCTTTAAGACCTTTCCTGCCAAGGTTGTTAAGCGAATCACCGCAGTTGTTAAGTGAGTAACACGGTTGTTAAGTGAATCTGGCTTCCCCCCCCCCCTTGACTTTGTCAGGAAGTCACAAAAGGGGATTGTGTGACCCCCACGGGACACACCGACCATCGTAAATACGAGTCGGCTGCCAAATGCCTGAATTTTGATCACGTGACCGTGGAGATGCTGCAACGGTCATAAGTGTGAAAAACGGTCATAAGTCACTTTTTTCGGCGCTATTGTAACTTTGAACGGTCACTAAAGGGATGGTTATGAGTCCTCGACTTACGCCGGATTGCTTTAGGAGCGTTTGAAATGACAACGGACCTCGCCGTAGCTGCTTACTACCTGTTTTCAGAGTTAAGATCGTCATGCAAAATTAGAATTACGTTTTGTGTATTCGGCAACCAGCTCATCTTTACAATCCTTTACAATCATGTCGTGATTTGCGGGGTTTTTTGTTTTTTTTTGCTGGTTTCTGGTGTTCATTTCTGGTTTCCAGTAAAAAAATACCCATTGAGGAAATTAGATTCAATTAACTGCGGCATTCACTTAATGGCCATCATAAAAAATGGTCATCAGATCGAATTCCGTCAGGGGATGCCTTGACTTAACGGCCGTGGCTTAAAATCTTAATTTTGTGCTCAGTTCTGGTTACAAGTCAAGGACTTTTTGTCTAGTCCTCCTTTTTGGGTAAAAGATGACATATACATTTCATTTTATTTTATTTTGTTTCAAATTTATTTGCTGTCCATCTCCCAGTTAACGCCAACTCTGAACATAATAATAATAATAATAATAATAATAATAATAATAATAAGAAGAAGAAGAAGAAGAAGAAGAAGAAGAAGAAGAAGAAGAAGAAGAAGAAGAAGAAGAA